CTCTCTCCTCGCTTACAGAGGACCAACTCTTTTCTTAGTCCTCCTCCTATCAGTATAGAATTCATAAAACGACCCCTCCTTCTCCTTTACATCCCTCTGTGATTCATCATTTGTTTCCACTTTCTGTAGGCTTCTTTCTCAAATTTCAATGCATTAAAGAGATAATGGCCATGTTGATAGCCATACCTCCTACCGTTTCTCTACCTGAAAATTTGTGCTTGTGCCATTTGTGGCCATTCAGGCACAGAATTCAAAATTAATATAAAATTAAAATTTATACTTTATACGTCAGATACCTCTGAGAGAAACAATAATAGCTGTCTGGAATTTATTGCCAAAACCACAACTCAACTGACTGATCAAATCTTGATCACGTTGTTTTCCCTCTAAAAAATACTTTGAGGAAGGCTAGTAGTGGCCAAGTATCCTCCAAGAAATGTGCTATGCAGGTGCCCCATCCCATGGAAGCCCAGTCTATGTGTCACTGACATTCTTTCTACCGCTGCCCTTGGCCTCTCTTAAGCAGAAAGAAGCCAAATTTGCACTATAAACACTGATGGCTGGTAAGAAACCATCATCTCCGTTCCACGTTCAGACTCTTTGGCGTTTGGACTCAGGTGCAAACCACCAGTGAAACAGCCCAACCCACCTAGCCTCTGACAAAAATTACCTTTAGCAAATTACTAAATGAAGGCCTCTTAAGATGACAATGAAATGCTTTTTTTTCCTCTCCCCAGTTCTTCTTCTTCCAAATGGAAAGATTCACTCTTGGCATTGGCAGGCAGACTGCCCGGAGAAATTCAAGAGACTTGAGTTCTTACAAGGAGACAGCCACTAGTACAACTTGCAGCTCCATACAGATGCATGACCTGACTTGTGCTGCATCTTTGGCACTGTGTCCCAGTTTGTCGCCCTGGGGCCTTCCCCCTGGGAATTTTCCATCACAAGCAATAAAACCCCTGATGCAGCTTGGGAACGCACCGTACTCCTTGCTCCAGCTTTGGTCCATAAACGGTTTATTGTTTATTTTGCTTATCTATATAGCCTAGTGATGAGAACTGTGCAAAATACTTGCCTTAAGTCCATGCGAAGCCTGTCTTTGAGTGCAGACACTGGGCAAATATTACAAAAAGTACTGAAAGGTTTTCCTTCAGCTCTGCATATGCCCAGTTTACATTTCTAGAATTGAAGTTTCCTGGCAAGATGTCAGGACAATTATCAAGGAAAGATAATTTTGAAGTTCTGCTGTAAAATTGACAGAAACCAAACTTTATATTTGCAAGGGAATGTTTTTGGCTTCTATAATCATTGTAGAAGAAATCAACGTAATTATGCGATCTCTCTGAATTATCTGATCACATGCAACAAAGATACAGCTCAAATAACAAATAGCAACTCTGCTTGCCAAAATGAGGCATTTTCAAAGAACACATTTGGAGAAATCACACTGCTTATGCACATGGTCCCTACAAGCAGAAAAGAAGCTGAATTCAGTTTAGCACAGCCCTAGTAGGCAAAGAGCTGGGTGATTCACAGTCCAGTCCCAACAGCAATTCATGCTGACAAAGGTTCAGCAAATACTAGGCAAAGTTGTTTACGACAGAGGAAATCTCTCATGCTTTCTTCTTCACAAGCAGTCTTCCTCAGTGTATATATAGACAACTAAGATCTTTAGATGATTTCTTTGTCATGAAGATGACTTTATGTAGGCGACCTGAGAACAGTTTTACAGGGATTCTGCAGAACTTGATGGGGATTTACAAATAAAGGGGTCCCATTTCGTGGACAGACACATTCAAGAGACTGAATGTTGCTGAGACTTTTCCCTGGAAGAAGATCAATGTTGTCACACTTGAGCCTTAAAGACCTGACAGGGCTACTTCCAGCTCCTTTGAAATATTGCATTCAGCCCAAGTAAAGGCACTCTACTGTACCCTCTATAAGAAAAATGTAATTCCCCACTGCCTCTGCACATCAACCCAGAATGACAAACTTTTTGTAGGGCACCACACAGGTGCCCTTTCAGGTGTTTCCCCATGATGCTTGCTTAGTGTCAACTGTGACAAATAAGACAAATAAATATAAAATCTTATAAAGTTCCAAATCATAGCCTCAGAACCGAAGCTTCTGGAGAGTTTAGTGAAGCCCCGCAAACGCAATTTAACTTGTCTTGTAATAGGCAGTTCTGTCTCCTAGCTCATATGGTTAGGACAGAAAGTTAATGTATACAGTTTTAACTTTGTAAACTCGAGAAGGGCAATATAAAAGCGGGAAAAGGAATTCCAGTCTTTCACAAGGCAGGCAAGACAGATTGCTGTAGCAAACATCCCACCTGGGAATTGCAAAACAACATGGATGAATAAATAGGTTGAAGTGTGCATACATCAGGATACCAAGCAAGTTATTTGCATCTGATGAGTCCAGGAAGTCGCTGTGAGAAAGGATGGACAGGCAGATCTCTCAGGCGGCTTCCAACTCAGCTAGTCAATCTACACCGCATGCAGATTACCTAAATTGCTCCTGGTACATTTGCATCACCTGGTTGGTGCAGTCTGTATTAGTGATTCAGGCATTAGCTCTGAGCAGGCTTGTAAGCCAATACACCACACAGTGAAATACTAGCTTAGGTCTTGGAAGTAATACAGATCTCTTATTTAGCCTATCTTCATTTATTTTCTTGTCTCTACCTTCCTGAAGCAGCTTTCTTCCTTAATATCTTTTCCAAATAATAACCTTCCCCTCCCCAAAACAAAACATGCACATGAAACATCTGCAGATAACAAATTAATGTACTTTACAGGTTGATGAAGAAATATAGCTCTATTAAGAGAATGGGAGCATCCCTGAACTTTCATTGCAAAATTGGAACTTTTATTAAGCTTTTGTATATATAGTTATTTTACATTCTTAAAGAGTTTGAAGCAGATGATTTTATAAAACTACTCAAGAATTTAGTTATACAAATATACTACTAGTTATTTATATTTCCTCTGGTCCATTTCTATATGAATAAAGGAAGGTACGGTAATGTATTTACTGTTAGACAACTTGTAAACAACTGCGTATGTTATTTCACTTAGATAGCTTGTTTTTGCATTCAATTCATAAACATTTGAAATGATACTAAAGGCCAAAAAATATAGTGGATGGAAGCAACACTGCTGAAAACAGAAAAGGGTGGCAAAGCTCAGCTCCCCAAAGCAATCTAATGCACTGCACTGAACATCTGTGCTTGTTGTAAGATGAGTAACACGGCAAACGTTACCTGCAAACTGAAAATTATTATCAAATCCCACCCACATTTGCACCATGAAGCCTGACAGGGAAAACAGAGTTCTGACTGAGTATTTCTAGCAGGCTAAAACAGAAGCACCTCTCACGAATCACACGTGCAGGAAGAATTGTTCCACTTGAGATGAGTCGTGGGACTCTTTACATTTGCTATTCTCCTGTTATTTAAATTGTGCAGTCTAGTTTATTCCACTAGAGACTTACATTTAATGTCTTTATTAAATAAAAAAATTAATATGTTTAAAAATGCAAGCATTTAACAGTCTTACAAGGGTCTACCACACCTTCACCCTTGAGGAATGGGACAAGTTCCCATATCACTATTTGTTTCTGGGCGCAGCACTGCATTTTCAGTTACACTGAATGGGAAATTCCTGATAACGAGATGATGCCCTTTGTTTTGCTCTTGTCCACTACTTTGTTCTTGAGGCAAAAGGTACTGTAACTTCCTACAATTGCTCGGCATCATGCACACAGGCAATGCAACGCAGTAGCAGTCAGTCATGTCTCCATCTACAGTGTGGCTATGCTCAGTCTTGATATTCTGGAAAGCTGGGACAGGCAAAAGAGGTGTACAATATTGCATTGCAGAAACCAAAGGGGAAACCTAGAACTTAAAGAATTTCACAGAATGGAACAAAAAATCCAGAAGCTTAAAAAAAAAAATTTAAAAAAAAAAATCACATTTTCACAGCTATGATTTTGCACCATTGAAAATACTGCACAGGGTGATGTTTCTGATACACATTTCTTTCTTGAGCAGAGGAATTTAGTACGGTTTTTTAATCCTCAGATTTTTTGTTACTTTCACACTCCCCAGTGCAAACAGTTCCTTTTTTTCCAAAGAAGCAGGCTTTGGCCAGGAGTCAACTAACCTCTCTGAGACTTTCAGCTGGAAAGCGAAATAAGTATTACTGACCCAATTAGTCTGTGCATCTGGTCTTGTTTTGTTGTTGTTGTTGTTGGGGTGGGGTTTTTTGTTTTGGTTTGGGTTTTTTTCCCTGTTCTGTTCATAGTTCAAGATTGCTGACTAGTGTCAGCTGTCAAGATTGCTGACTAGTTAACTGTGTGCAGTTTCTTTCTCCCATCATTTCTGCAGCAAATTCTCACGCTCTCCTCCTGTCCTCTCTTGTCACTGGAATAAGATCTGATTTCCTGGTGCCTCTCTCCCCTCTCTTGCTCCTTCTACTCTACATTCAATTCAGATCAGAATAAAAGCAGCCTGTTGACCCCAATTACAATGCAAAAACTCTATGGGATAGACTGAATGAGGACATCATCATCCTGACCCAGAGATACCACCTTGCAAGGAGAAGTACACAATAAAGTATCTGTAGCAGCCAGTTCAAGTTTCCCTTTCCCCAGTTTTAAAAACACGGGTGCCATTAATACCTCCGCTCAGGTGTTCGCCATGGAATTCTGTTAAACCACAGAACCGGATTCAAATTCATTTCTGCTTCACCCTGGGATTTCTTTTTTGCAGACCAGCACATGTACCCAATAAGTAACATGAGCAAGAAGTGAGACCTCGGGGTCTACAGCAGCAGATGCCACGTTCAGAGGAGGGACGGAAATGCACACGCTACCTAACAAGCAGCATACAACTTGCTACCACTCAGCAGAGGGAGAATTTAAATTTAATTCCATTAAAAGCAGGGAGAACAAGCCTTGCATTTGCACAGGCTGGCAGCAGACCCGCGTGAGCTTACCTCAGACCACCGTTTGGCTCTTCATCAGAGGAGAAGGTGCCGTTGCAGACGTTGCCGAAGGAGTGGCTGGGCTTCAGTTTGGCTTCCTCGCAGTCTGACACGGGTTCTCTTTTCTTCCTCTTACCGAAGAGCTTCTTGAAAGGCTGGAATTTGCCTGCTTTTTTCTTGTCTGTAGATTACAAGACAAAGAGGCGCAGGACTGAGGGACGCAGTGTCTCGGCACGGCTCGCCAGGACGCACCGCGGCAGCAGCTTCAAAGGAAGAATGAGGTCAAAGAGCAAGTCACCAGCCCGAAGCAGCCTGGCGCTTGCCATGTAAATGCAGGTCTGCAACTCGGTGTTAACGTGTCATATTGACAAAGCAAACGCAATAGCATTAAACCATTTGCTCTTGGTTTTAAGGATCTGCTTGAAGGTGTCAGTGCAGCCAAACATTTGGATAAAGAGAAAAGATAATTTTGTAGAGCCAGAATTTATTTATTATTTATTATTTGAGGCTCATTTTTTGGCTTTACACCACACTTTTTTTTTTTTTGACCTTTTCACCAAAAGACAAGCACTGCTTTGGTCACCCCACTTTGGCAGGTGCTGGTTCCTCTGCCTTGAATTAAAAACAACTGAAAATAACCTACTCTTTTACTTCTGTAGCCTCATAACTAGACAAGTCAATTTGCAAATGAACAAAGAACAGGATAAAGTTCTGTTGGTTTGCTGGTGGGTTACTTCAATAAACATCCAGCTTTATATCAGCAAAGTCAATATATTTTTCTGACTTTTTTCCCCCCGAGTAACTGAGGACAGAATTTGACCAAGCATTTCTTCCTTGAGATGCTTAAATTTTAAAAGCTGCACCAAAGAAAAAGCACGGCAAAAAGACAAAACAGACATGAAGACAGGAACAAGAAATTAAAAAGTTAACCAGAAAAAAAACAACTTTTTTTTCCACCAAAGACTGAAAAAAATAAATGCAGCTTCAGACTACTTTTCCCACATCTAGTAAAAAGAAGTACCAAGAGTTTCTTGTTAACCATTGCCAAGAAGGGGTTAATTTCTTTGGTTTGGGATGCACCAAAGAATTTCTAAAACATCATAACTGTCAAAGAGCTTAATTTCTTTTCTGCCTGTACTTAATTTTTCATTGAATCTACTTAAAACAACCTATAAAAAAAACCACCAAACTTTTAGCTTCCTATCATAATCCAGTTTGAGAAGCATCATGTTGTACTGATGACAAATATTTTCATAAGCTATTTAAATCCCTATATGTGCTTTTCTCCCAGGCTGCATGCATATGCAATGCCTCAGCACACTCTACTCTTCTTATGAGCTGTTGCTGGTTGCAAAGTCCATAGAAGGCCCCTGTAGGAACGTTTGACCAGGAAACATGAAAAATCTTCCGCAGCTGAATACCACATCAGGTTTTATACTCCACTCTGCTACACCTGTGTATGGCAAAGCCATATCCGAGTAACACCCCTTTGTGGTTGCTGGAGGCATAACTACAGAGTATTTAGACAGAGAAAATGTGCCCAAACACATTGCGATGTGGCTACTTCCAGGGACAAGTGGTTTCCAAATTAGCATGGTGGCAGTGAGCATGCATGGAACCCAGGGATGGGATCAAATTTACACAAAGAGCAAGAAAGCTACTCCTTGTGAATCTGATTATATCTGTACCTGACTATGGATGAAGCAGGAAACCGAAACTGAAATTATAAAGTCAAAGACACAACAGATCGTAATTCTGCATTTCCTTTACAGACCCCTAGGAAGTTTACAAAGGTTATCTTTCTTCTCATTGGGCAGTCAAGATACACAGCATTTGTGCAACTTCATTAAGACAACAAGGCATTCCAGCAGCAGCATAAAGATCACAAGCTGAAATACGAACATCAAATTCAGACCCAGTATTAGAATTTTTTGATCCAGATTCACTGGCCCACAATGAGCAGATGAGGAAAACAACAACCACTGAAGCAGCAGTTTTACCAGAGTAGAAGAAAGAGGGGTACAGAAATTTACTCTCCCTGTCCCCTAGCTCTGCTTTCCATAAGCTGACCAACTCACATCTCCAGCCAGACCAATTGCTTGCTGCTCAATTCTGACTTTAGAGAAATATATTCTTATATGAAGTCCCTAACAGACAGGCAGTCAGTCATGCAGAGAAAGAAAGAAATTATTGCTCTAGGCCACAGCTGCCCCAACTCTTCAGGTACTTCAGAGACTGCCTGCAAAAACTCATAAATCAAATGGTAGAGCATACAGAAGAGAAAGCATCAGTACCAGACACAAGACTAGGTGAAAGTTGTTTTTGCACAATTCCCACCTTTCCTGTTTCCTCAGCCTTCTTTGAAAGGAAAGGCTGTGTGATGCCATTTCTGCTGGTTAATGTAATTTACTGCATAAACCAATTCAACTACAGCATTTTAAAAAAAGGTTCTCACTGTGTCATTCATCCACACTACTCTTGTCCCCTCCTCTCTTGGAGGTCTTCCGATATAACTGTGAATTACCTCGTCAACTCCAAATCTACTGTACTGATTCATCAACTATGAATCTAGGTGTTGAACAAGTAAGACAGGTCAACACAGCTTTCATTTCATCAAAATGGGTGAAAGCCAACATGGTTATCTCCAGCCAAGATCTTCTTTTCTCCATGTGATTTAACATGTCCCTTAGCTGTTTCCCCACTCCATACCCTATCATCACAGTTGTCACATTACTAAGCGTGAATTCTTTAAATTAGGCTTCGTGACTCATTGCAAAACCAATGAGCACCCTTCCCTGCACAGGCTGCACACACTATTCCCCATCCTGCCAGCACAGAGATAAGGAGCAGCCAGACCTTCCAGGTTTCTAAGGAGGCAATGCCTGACCGCTAAGGCAAAGCCTATTTATGTAAATTTTTCACAAGATCTTATGGAGGAAGATGTGGGATGATATCACTTACAGAGTAAAATGCTTCCTATAACAGTAAAACAAGTACAGAGAGGAATCCAAACATTGGCAATGCAACAGACAATGTCCTGCACAAAAGCCTTTTGAGTCTCTAATGCTAAAGCTCAAACATGACGCAACCCTCTTGTCTAGCTATACTGCAGAAAGGAAAAAAATGGGATAGGAAAGGTTGAAAGTTGGGACATCCAATGCTGTCAACTTGTGTCAAGGGCAACTGCTGAGATAGCCAGGAAAAAAAGTCTGCTTACACGGGCCATTTGCTTCTCTCCTTAATCACTTGAATGGGAATCCTACAGATCCAGCCCCAGGAGAACATGGGAAACCAGCAATTAAACCTTTTTCCTGTCTCTTTTTTCAAGCCTCTCTTGTTCAAATCACTGTAAACAGTTAACAGTAAATCAGTTTTGAATCACAGAAAAACATGAGGTGTGAAGGCGACAGATAAACAAGGTTGGATAAGCTAGCTAGAATAACAGAGCACATATGGTAAATGCTCCCTTCTCAGCTTATTCCGAAAAAGTATCAGAGCAGATTAGAATAATCTTTAACCTGTCATATAATTTGTCAGCTGTATAAAAACATGCAGTGCCAAACACAGAGCCAGATAAGGTGGAGAGCATCGGCATCATGAAGGCAACACATGGTCCCTCCACCCCTAATGGCAGCGGAGAGACTGATAGGAGCAGCTACTCCTCTCCCACTCTCACTCTAAGGCTCTCCTCCACAAAGATGAAGGCCGGTGCAATGGGCTTTACTGCCGGTAAATCAGGCACAGCCTTTGGACTGCAGCTGGCAAAGCATTACCAACGCATCAGCTGACAAATCCCCATAAGATAGCTTGTACTTAAACTACACAAATGTCACCCAAATCCATTCGGATTCCTAGGCTGTGATGCCCTTCAAAAACTGCACAGAGCCCTCAACGCAAGTACAGGTCAAATAAAGATTTAACTGCTGCTTGTACAGAGCGAAGAGATTTAAACGATTGGAAAGAGAGCGAGCAGTGTATCCCAAACAACAGGCACGATGCAGGGGTGAGGCTGCACCACTGGATGGGACAGAGGAGATGTCAACGCCACTGGAAACATCTGAAAAATCATTTTCAAGCAAAAAAAGTCTCACATGAGAAACAGAAAGCCTCACACAGTCATAGAAAGACACCTAAAGACATAACAAGGTGTCGGTTCCTTGCAGCTGTTCCTCCTTGCTGTGATGCTGGGGACACTCAGAGTGGTATGGGTGAGACAACCTGCGGGGGGAGACCTCTCTGAGCAGAGCTGACCGAGCAAAAGCATCAGCTGGTCCGTAAGAATATGATCGTTGAGGGGAAAAATAAATAAAGGCAGGATTTATAGTGACTTTTTAAAGTTGAATTTATTGTGGTCAAGACTTTTCAAACCTCAGTTTTGCAATGGAATTCACGGAGATTTCACAGACATTTGTTCATTACGTGAAATGCAGCACCTGTCTGTAGTACCTATCTGTAACATGAGACATTGCACAGGGGCTGTCTCCAAAGTAACATGTTCCTTGTCAGTGAATTTAATGGCTATAAAATATGGTGTAATAGGCTAGATTAATGAGGATATGAATTATTAAATTGAATAGGAATTTCTATAAAGAATTTAGAGAATGGAAATCCACATGCATGCAGCATTAAGAACTGCATGGCTGGGAGAGGGCAGGTGGGTTACTGGGCTGTGAGCACAATACAGCAGCCAAAGCAAAAAAGAGAACTAAAAAATACTATTAAGAGGGTAAGTTGACTGACATCTCTAATCACATCTCTACAGCAGAAGAAGGCTGTTATGATGTATGTTGCCAGTATCAGTAATAAAAAAAACCACCTTGATTTTAAGCTAATGGTATGCTTATTCATGCTCTCTTTAAAATAATTCAGAGTATCCACTACCATAAGCACTGCCCTGTTGAGCCCTGGGTTGGCCAAGCATCTGCACAAACTTCTTTTCTTTTCAGGTCCCCACCAAAAAAGCCACCCTGTCTCCCCCCTGGCTCAATCCATTCTCACAGGGCACAGAGCTTCCCTGTGCAAACCAGGATTAGCGCCTGTCTCCAGCTTTCCCACCCACAGTCTCAGTACATCCATTTCTGTGAGTTCCTGGAGCTGCTCGTTATTACCAATACATTTGCGTTCAGAGACGGCAGCAGCACTCCCTAGAGAGGCGTCTCTACTCCTCCAGGAAAGGGAAACAAATTGTTTGGGAATAAGCTAGCAGAAGGGCAGACTC